GTAGATTTTTTTTTTTTAATTTATGCCAATTTCTTGAACTACTGTACCATAGGAACAACTTTGTTAACATTCGTCGCAATGTTACCACCCTTTAAATACAAACAAGTAACAAATTTCAGATCATTAAGCTCGTCTCGAAAGAGAAACAAACACTTAAATCATAACCATATGATCTTCGCCTTAACAAGGCAAAACTCAAAAAAAAAAACAGTAAGTTCGGCCGAGACGAACTTTAATGCCCTCCACTATTTGGGATGAATTCGAAAAATTTCAAAAAAATAATATCGGAATATATGTATAAACAATTCTCTTCTAGGGGAAAAAGTACTCACACGGAACTCCTTGTGTGCAATTTCGGACAATTAGGTTGGAAAATGTAGCTAAAATCATCAAAATACCGAATATCGGGAGGTACTGTTATATGGGGACTATACGATATCGTGGACCTATATACACAATTCCCTTTCCGGGGGTAAAGTACTCACAAAGAACTCCTTGTGTAGAATTTCAGACAATTCCATTGGAAATTTTGGCTAAAATCATGAAAATACCGAATATCGGGGGTGCCGTTATATGGGGGCTATACGATATCATGGACCGATATAGCCCATCTTCGAACTTGACCTGCCTGCAGACAAACGACAGATCTGTGCAAAATTGTAGCTTCCTATCTTAATTCGTTTTGAGTGTAGCGTGATTACAACAGACGGACGGACGGACGGACTAAATCGTCTTAGAATTTTACGCTGATCAAGAATATATATACTTTGTTGGGTTTAAAATGATTATTTCGATGAGTAACAAACGGAATGACGAAATTAATATACCCTGTATACTATTTATGCTGGAGGGTATAAAAACAGATTCAAGAAATTAAACTCTTCTTTATGTACTCCGCAATATTACTTTAAGCATTCAGCCCTTTAATATTGGTATGAAGAAATATTTATATTTACACATGATTTTTTACATATTTATATACACACAGAGCACTAGCGTCAAATTTGGAAAAATGGATAAATTTTCAAACCGTAATTACACACATGCAAGAAAAAGGTAGGTAACTAAGGAATTGCTAAATATAAGTACAAGAATAACAATGTAAAGTTTAATAGAGGAAACATTCTAATAGATTTCATAGGTTAAGTCATTAGAATTTTACTTGATGTTAAGCTTTGCGAGCTGAATGACTTTATAGTACAATGAAAGAATAAAAATTGAAGCATACTTTAAGGCTTACAATAAAGAGGGGAACTAGTATGTACCTTGTGTGGCTCATGGACTTGTCGTAATGCACACATACCCAAACCCAAGTCAACAGTAAAACCAGTAAAGAAAGTCCTTAAGTCGGGCGGGGCCGACTTTATGATACCCTGCACCACTTTGCTAATTTAGTAGAGCTGCGCATAACAATTAAAAGTTCATACACGCTATGATTATAATTTAAAGGACTTGTATTACCCATTTGGTGCACAATTAACTTGAAATCGGATAAAGATATATATGGGAGCTATATCCAAATCGGAACCGATTTCGATAAAATTTGGCAAAAATATTTCTGCGCTGTATTTGATATATTTCCCTGAAAATCGTCGTTACGGAGTGCATATTACAGCTGTGGTAACAAATATAACAAATCGGATGAGCAGTATATATGGGAGCTATAGCTATATCTGAACCGATCTTCACCAAATTTGACATACTAGCTTCTAGACTCAATTCGGTCGTATGTGCCAAATTCCATCCCATTTGGACAAATATTAGACGTTTGGTGCACAATAAAAGGGAAATCGGACGAATTTATATATGGGAGCTATATCCAAATCTGAACCGATCTCGATAAAATTTAGCAAATGTATTTCTGAGTTGTATTTGATATATTTCCCAAAATATTGTTGTTACAGAGTGCATATTACGGCTGCGGAGGACAAAAATAACAAATCGGACGAACAATATATATGGGAGCTATAGCTATATCTGAACCGATTTCGATAAAATTTGGCATACTTATTTCCAGGCCTAATTTGGTTGTATGTGCAAAATTCCATACTATTCGGGCTGATATTACACGTTTGGTGCACAATAAAAGGCAAATTGAACGAAGATATATATGGGAGCTATATCTAAATTTTGACCGATTATCTCCATTTTCAATAGGGTTTGTACTTGGGCTAAACAAATGATTTGTGCAAAATTTCATCTGGATAGGACAATAAATGCGAACTGTACTATGTTTACAAAAATACATGGACAGACAGACAGACGGACGGACATGCATAAATCGACTCAGAATGTGATTCTATGCCGATCATCAAAAGGAACTATGGGTGTATCTCGTTTCCTTTTGCCTGTTACAAACAAATGCACAAAGACATAATACCCTGACCACCTTGTGGTGTAGGGTATAAAAAGAAACCAAAGGCTATATTGGTACGGAACAGAGCACGTAATACCCTAAATTTATTTGCGGAAAAGTTTCTATAGGTCTAAAACCCTTTTGAATAGAATGAGCAAACATTCACATATGGAGGTACATTTCTGGACTTTCTTGTATCAAAAATATTCACAGTTAAATGAAAATTATAGTATTTTTTACACATACGGTTCATTCCATCCTCTATATATAGTAAAATTCTGCATAGAACTGTCCATAATTGTGAACTGCGAAGGGAATTCAAAATGGTTTGCGATTAAATTCAAAAATATTTGAACTTATATCCTGACCGTAACCCTGGCCACATATAGGAATTTCGTGACATCAACCCATAATAGCAACCTATGAGGGGTTTAAAAATTAACATTGACAAATAGCTAAAGGGATAACTCATAATGTTCGGTATAATGCATGGTGGAGCTAGAACCAATATCTTCAGGTGTGACAATCTTTATGGTCCCATCAAACTTACGAGGGTATTGTAAGTCCGTAGAGAATTCTACCAGTAAGTCTTCTAGCTAAAATGAAACAAAGGAATAAACTCATTTGGAGGAAGAACCTTCTCTTTTATTTTCGCTCCTAACTTATGTATGACACATACATTACGGGCTACAAAATTGGACTTGCAAGTTTCAGAAAATTTTGAGGATTTTGGGAGGGGTGCCAGAGAAAAGAGGTCGATATACCGATTTCCACACTAGATCTCATAACGGCAAAAATATTGAGATGTGCAAAGCTGGAAAAAGATTAGACACCATTTTCACTTGGTTTAAGAGTCGTTTTTCTTCCCAGAAGGAACGGGCCGATATATTCGATTTTTGTGAAATTTTATAACATGCTAAGGGAATTCTGAGTTATTTCTTGCTTTATAAGAGCTATGATAATTCATAATTCGATATTTTTTTGGGAGTGATGAGTGGATGTTTACAATTTTCCCACCTGACCTAAGTCTGATAGATGGCTAATCCCAATGCTTTACATGAAATTTATATAATTACATAATTTTTGAATTTTTTGAAATTTTTATTTTAGGCCGGTTTTGGCACCAATTCCTACTTTATGTACTAAAAAATAAAACATATTTTACAATATTTATTGCTGCATACATTCTGCAGGAACACCCAAGTGCAGTTTTTTATAGGCAGTTTTCAAATTTCATATTAAAACCAGTAAAGAAAGTCTTAAAGTCGGGCGGGGCCGACTTTATGATACCCTACACCACTTTGCTAATTTAGTTGAGCTGCGCATAACAATTAAAAGTTTTTATGGGAGAATTCAATCATACACGCTATGATTAAAATTATAATTTAAAGTTCAAAGAACTAAATATGCCGAAGCATTTGTATCTTTTAAATTCTGAGTTGTATTGCCCATTTGGTGCACAATTAATCTGAAATCGGATAAAAATATATATGGGAGCTATATCCAAATCGAAACCGATCTCGATAAAATTTGGCAAATATATTTCTGAGCTCTATTTGATATATTTCCCTGAATATCGTTGTTACGGAGTGCATATTATGGCTGTGGGTAACAAATATAACAAATCGGATGAGCAGTATATATGGGAGCTATAGCTATATCTGAACCGATCTTCACCAAATTTGACATACTAGCTTCTAGACTCAATTCGGTCGTAAGTGCCAATTTGGGCAAATATTAGACGTTTGGTGCACAATCCAATGTAAATCGGACGAAGTTATATGTGGGAGCTATATCCAAATCTGAACCGATCTCGATAAAATTTAGCAAATGTATTTCTGAGCAGTATTTGATAAATTTCACCAAATATTGTTGTTACAGAGTGCATATTACGGCTGCGGAGGACAAAAATAACAAATCGGATAAACAATATATATGGGAGCTATAGCTATATCTGAACCGATTTCGATGAAATTTGGCATACTTATTTTGAGGTCCAATCTGATCGTACACGCGAAATTCCATACTATTCGGTCTGATATTACACGTTTGGTGCACAATAAAAGGCAAATCGGACGAAGATATATATGGGAGCTATATCTAAATTTTGACCGATTATCTCCAATTTCAATAGGGTTCGTCCTTGGGCCAAACAAATGATCTGTGAAAAATTTCATCTGGATCGGGCAATAAATGCGACCTGTACTTTGTTTACAAAAATACATGGACAGACGGACGGACGGACATGCATAAATCGACTCAGAATGTGATTCTATGCAGATCATCAAAAGGAACTATGGGTCTATCTCGTTTCCTTTTGCCTGTTACAAACAAATGCACAAAGACATAATACCCTGACCACTTTGTGGTGTAGGGTATAAAAATACGAAATATAAATTAAATAATGAAAACGAATATAATTCGCTTTAAATTAAAAATTTCAAAATTTTAGCCATCATAATTCAAATTAAAATAGAAATAAATGTATTTCAAATTATGTTATCATTTTGCAAACGATTTCATTCGAAATATAATCAAAGAAAGTGAAAATTTCCTATTTTGAACATATATTACTCGAGTCAGATATCCCCCCGAAAAAGCATTAAAAAAAAACAAAGTCTATATTCATTGTTTAATAAAAAATTATTTATTTTATATCATTACAATAACAACATCAATATATACATTTAAAAACAAATAATTTCGTAACAATTAAAAATATTTTTCCTACAGATTCTTACAGAACCTCATCGTCCTTTAAGGACTGCTTTAAGTCACTCTTTATCTGCATATCGTACACCATGACCAGTGTCTCATCCTCGTCTTCCTTGTCGAAGACACTCTGATATTCTTTCGATTTGATGAATTTGCGTACGAACGGAGGGAATAGTTGACGATTCATGGTCGCCGGATCGTTACGACCGAAAGCGCACGATGCCAAATGGGCTACGGCAACGGAAATGAAACAACCAACGGCCGCATAGAAGAAGAAGGACATTTGATAGATGTATTGGGCGAAGGTTTTGGAACTGCAAAAACGGGGGGAGAAGGCAAGAAGGAAAAATTAAAAAAAAAAAAACATAAATTGAAAATAGGTTTTAGAAGAACTCTACATTTTTTTAAAAGCTCTTCTGTATATAAAAGTGATTTAAAAGCTCTTTTTTATATAGAAGACTTTTAAAAGCTCATCTATAGATAACAGAGATTCGAACGCTCTTTTATGCATAGGAGCTCTGTAAAAGCTCTTCTCCAGATAGAAGACCTTTACATTGTTTCTTTAGATAGTAGGCCTCTAAAGGGTCTTCTATAGATAGAAGACCTTTAAAAGAATTTCTGTGAATAAAATACTTTAAAAAGCTCTTCTATGCATGAAAGACCTTTAAAAGCTCTTCTATGGATGGAAGAACTTTAAAAGCTCTTCCATGGATAGAATATCTTTAAAAGCTCTTTAAAAGCTCTTCTATGTATAAAATACCTTTAAAAGCTCTTCTATGGATAGAAGACCTTCAAAAGGGCTTCCTTACACAGAAGGCCTTTAAAAGCTCTTCTATATATGGGAGACCTTTAAAAACTCTTCTATGAAGACCTTAAAAGCTTTTCTATGGATAAAATACCATGAAAAGCTCTTCAATGGATGGGAGACCTTTAAAAACTCTTCTATGGAAGAACACTAACAACTTTTAAAAGCTCTTATATAGATAAAAGTGCTTTAAAAGCTCTTCTATAGATAGAATGCATTTAAAAGCTCTTTTTTATATAGAAGACTTTTAAAAGATATTCTATAGATAAAAGAGATTTGAAAGCTCTTTTATGCATAGGAGCCCTTTACAAGCTCTTCTCCAGATAGAAGACCTTTAAATTGTTTTTTAGATAGAAGACATCTAAAGGGTCTTCTATAGATAGAAGACTTTTAAAAGCATTTCTATGAATAAAATACTTTGAAAAGCTCTTCCATAGATAGAAGATCTTCAAAAGCTCTTCTATGGATAAAATACTTTTAAAAGCTCTTCTATATATGGAAGACCTTTAAAACTCTTCTATGAAAACCTTAAAGATTTTCTATGGATAAAATACCTTGAAAAGCTCTTCTATTGATGGTAGACCTTTAAAAGCTCTTCCATGAATAGAAGACCTGTAAAAGCTCTTCTATGGATGGAAGACCTGTAAAAGCTCTTCTATGGATGGAAGACCTTTAAAGCTCTTCTATAAATAGAAGACCTTTAAAAGCTCCTCTATAGGTAAAAGAGCTTTGCAAGCTCATCTCTGATATTAAAGCTCTTTTACATAACTTGCCTTGTATCAATAATTGTGGCATTGGCTGGTGTCATTTTCGGCTCAAAATCATAGGTACATCCTTCAGTTGAAAATGGCTTCTCGGGATACACCAGTTCACCGGTGGCCAAGGCTATTTGGCATTTAATGCAGATCCAGGTCATTGTTACAAAGGCCACAATACAGCCACTGATGGCACTCTACGAAAACACAAAATCCCAGAATTTAAAAACTCAAAATTTCCATTTTCGACAGCACGCTTTACCTTCGAATTAATCCATGGCATCAGCAGACCCATCAAGAACAAACTCAACAATGGCCCACCTGTCACCGATGCCAAAGTCGTCGATAGCTGGATAACCGCATGACCCAAAAATTGTATCACCAACACCAAGGCCACACTGATGATACCGATAATGACCACCGTCAAACGCATAATCCATGCCGTCTGCCTCTCAGTCAGTGGTGTTTTCTTGAAGGGCTTAATGTAATCCTCCAAAAAGACAGCAGCCAATGAATTCAAACCCGTCGACAGCGAACTCAGAGCAGCACTAAACACCCCAGCCACAAAGAGGCCAGCCATACCGGGTAAAGATTTCAAAGTTTCCATTACCATCAACGGCACCATTTGATCTTTGGCCTTGGCCAATTGGGTACTCAACGGATCACAGTCATGATAATTGGCAAAAATCAGCAGGCCATTATACATGGTCAGGACATTGATGATAATAATGCCCACAGTAAAGTAGATACAGGCAACCTTGGCTTCTTTGAGTGAGGGTACGGATAAGTAACGTTGCACAATCACCTGATTGCCACAATTCACCTGGGTATACCAGAGAGTGGTGCCCACCAAAATCGATAACATCGAGACACGGCTTGTGGGATCCCAGGTAAGTCTGAAAAGAGCGATATTTTTCTCAACTTTCTCAGTTAGGAATATTTTTCTAAGACTCACTCTGGTATCTCTATCCGTCCAGTGGCCACATTTCGTTCCCAAACCACCCCCAAGCCACCAACATCTATGGTACCCTTGACAATAACAAAAATAATGGCTCCTACCATAATAACCGTTTGTATGACATCCGTCCAGACAACGGCTTTTAGGCCACCCTAAGAATTTAATTATTTAATACGGCATTACAAGGTTCTATAAATTCAGATTTTGTCCCAGATTTAATAAATACACATTGAGATTGGCAGAGAACGAGGTAGAGAACTAGAAAAGAAAAAGCGACCAACATACGGTTCCAGAAATATCAAAATCAATTTAGAGATATTTACTTCGGCAGATTTTGTCCCATTAGCAAAATCGAGTCGTGTTGTGACGTTTTTTTGTAAAAAAATCCACTTAGGCCGGATTCGATTCTTATTTTGATATAAAGTTTTGCCAACAGGTAAATAGCTCGCATATTTCTGGTTTTTTGATGGGTAAAAAATATTAAAATTTTCACTTCGTCAACATTTCAATTTTTACGGCAAAAAAAAATCGACTTCGATTTCCTAATACCAAAAGTCGATTGATCTAAATTCGAACTATTCGAAAGTAGTCGAATTCTGACGACTTATGATATGAACTATGTTATAAATTTTCGGTAAAATTCACATTCTCCTATCCATCTTCTCTCTCTCTTTCTCAAAGCATTTGTTAATCTAGAACATTTTTATAAATTTTGCGAAACTTACCACACATGTATAGAAAATGCAGACCATACACACAACCGGTGTTATAATGTGAATGTTGACACCAGTCACTAAGAATTAAAAAAATTGCAAATCAATAATCGATCGACAAAGAAATCTAATTTTCATCGATTGGAGTCTGGACACATTTTCAGAAATAACAAGTAAAAACGCCGTAAGTTCTGCTGGGACGAACTTTAATTACCCTCCACCATTTCGAAGGAATTTTGAAATTTTTCAAAAAAAATTCGTTAAAAATTCTGCTAAGACCTTAAAAATTCCGAATATAGCAACTATATTGAAGACGTGGGCCTGCATAGGAAAATTATGTCATAGGCCATTACAATATTCAAATACGAAACTTAAAAAAAATCGGGTGAATAATGTAGCTAAAATCATCAAAATACCGAATATAGGGAGGTACCGATATATGGGGCCTATATGAAGACCTGGAGCAGCATCGACAATTTTCTGTCGCAGGCTGTAGTAAATATTTGGAACTTCAAATACAAAATTTGAAAATTCCGGTGAACATTGTACCTTAAATAGTCGAAATACCGAATTATGTGAGGTAGCGTTATATGGGGGCTATACGAAGACCAGGACCTACACAGACAATTTTCTGTCAATGACTGTAGTATCCATTACGAACTTCAAAGACCGAATTTGAAATGATTCCGGTAAATAATATCGCTAAAATCATCAATATACCGAATATCGGGATGTACCGATATATGGGGCTGTACGAAGACGTGGACCTGCACAGACAATTCTCTGTAGTACCCATTAGAAACTTCAAACACGAAATATGAAACAGTTCCAGCGAATATTGCACCTAAAATCGTCTAAATACTGAATACAGGGAGGTACTGTTAATATGGGGGCTATACTATATTGTAGACCTATAAAGACAATTCTCTTCCAAGGGGTGAAGTGCTCAGAAATAACTTCTTGTGTGGATTTTTAGACAATTCCATTGAAAAATATAGCGAAAATCATAAAAATACCGAATATATGTAGGTACGGTTATATGGAGGATATACGATATTGTGGACCTATATAGACAATACTCTTCCAGGGGGGTAATGTACTCACATGGAACTCCTTGTGTGGATTTTCAGACAATTCCTTAAAAAAATAAAATACAGAATATGGGAGGGTACACGATTTCGTGGACCTATATAGCCCATCTTCGAACTTCGAACAAAAGTCTTATCTGAGCAAAATGTTAGTTTCCTATCTTAATTCGATTTGCTTCTGGATTACAAAAGACGGAAGGACGGACAGAGTTAAATTGTCTTAGAATTTTACGCTGATCAGGAATAATTTTTGTCTAAGGTCTAAAATTATTATTTCGATGAGTTACAAACGAAATGAAGAACTTAATATACCCTCCATAAATAGTATTAGCCTGTTTTGCCTACAGGTGTATACACCCAGCCTGGAGTTATGATTTTTCTAACTGTTGATCATATACGGACAAAGTTCTGAAGAAGTGGGCCAATATTGTCCATTTCGTATCTGACCAAATATGATATATATAATACAACGTGCCATATTTGGAGTATATCGTCTACTTCCTATACTTTCTATGGGATATGTGGAAATTTTTGGAAAATGTGGAAACAGATATAGCGGATCGAAATAATCCACTTCATCTAATACATTTATATCCAATTTTATACGAAATCATAAATTTTGATAAATCAAGTATTTATATCAGATTTCAGGTTAAGAACATACTTCGGTATAGCAAGTTGTAAGGAATAGCTGACCCTCTGTGTGGGTGAGGAACCAGAAGATTTTGGGTCATAAAATATTTGGATGTGCGAAATTTGAAGAGAGTTGGAAGCTTTTTTCGCTTTCTTTGAAAGTTTGTTTTTTAAATATTTTGAACCCTATGTGAGAGAGGTACCAGAAGAAATTATCCGATTTCTACCATCTATATAAATGATCTTGTGTTGATGGAAATATTGGGATATACTAAATCTGGATGGAATCGGATGTTAATATCGCGTTTTAAGAGCTTCATAGATATTCAATATTTTGACCCACTGTGGGGGAGGTACCAGAAGGACCGATACATCGTATTTTCACAGTAGATCTTGTGTCAGTAGAAATAATGGGATATGTAAAATATGGAGAGTGCCGGATGCTAATTTCGGATGTTATGATTGTTTTGGTTATTCAAAACTTTGACCCTTTGTGGGGGGGTACCAGAAGGAATGGTCCGATCTCTACCATCTTTATAACAGATATTGTGTTGATAGAAATATTGAGATGGACGACGTCTGAATGGAATCGGACGCAATTTCGCTCTTTATGAGATTCTTGGATATTCACAATTTTGACCCTTTGTGGGGGAGGTACCAGAGGGAGTGGACCGATATATTTCATCTTCACATCAGATCTAGTGTTAGTAGAAATAATAGGATGTGTATAGTTTGAAGAGAATCGGATGCTTATTTCGGATTTTATGATCGTTTTGGATATTCAAAACTTTGACCCTTTGTGGGGGAGGTACCAGAAGAAATGTTCCGATCTCTACCATCTTTATAACTGATCTTGTGTTGATGGAAATGTTGAGATGTCTTCAGTCTGAATGGAATCGCATATTATTTTCGCGTTTTATGAGCTTTATGGATATTCAAAATTTTTACCTTTTTGGTGGAGGTACCAGAAGGAATTCGCAGATATACATTATCTTCACAGCGGGTCTTTTGTTAGTATAAAAATAGGATACGTGAAATATGAAGAGAACCTGACACTTATTTCGGATTTTATAATAGTTTTGGTTATTCAAAACTTTTACCTTTTGTGGGGGAGGTACTTGGTGGAGTGCACCGTTATTATCTGTTTTTGCACCTAGCGTAGAACTGACGCAAATATTATGATTGGCAAAGTGAAAACAAAATTGGATCATCGATTCTCTTTCTGTTAATTTTTTTTTTTTTTTGGAATTTTTAATTTTTTGTGGGAGAGTTACCAGAAGGAGTGGACCCATATATTCCATCTTAACACCAGACCCTGGGTTAATAAAAATATTGGGATCTGTGAAATTTTAAGACAATCGGACTCTTACATCACATTTTAAAAGAATTGTAATTATTAAAAATTGTGACCCATTGTGGGGGAGGTACTTGATGGAGTTGACCGATATTGTCCCTTTTTCACACCTGACTTAATACAGAAGCAAATATTAGGATTTACAAAGTTGGAGAAAAATCAGATTATCCTTTTCTCTCTATGCAGTAAATTATTTTTATTGAAAATGTTGACATTTTGTTGGGGGAGGTACCAGAAGGATTGGATCGATATTGTCCATTTTCGCACCAGACCTAACACTGACGCAAATATTTTAGGATTTGCAAAGTTGGAGCAAAATCGGATTATCCTTTCTCTTTCTGTGCAAAAAATATATTTTATGAACATTTTGACGTTTTGTGGAGGAGTAACCAGAAGGAGTGGACCCATATTTCCCATCTCCGAACTCCATCTAAATTTGACAATAATACTACGATATACCAAGTTTGAATCAATCGGATACTCCCTTCGAGAGTTATCGTGCGGACCAGCCAGACAGACAGGCGGATGGACAGACGGACATCGCTAGATCGACTCCAAATGTCCGGAAATGGATTTAGTCCAAAAAGACTTAGGGTCTAAGATCGTTATTTCGATAAGCCCGTATCAAATGATATATACCCTTTGTAGCCATATGGCTAAGGGTATAATTACTCAAAACTGTGACCCTTTGTGGGGGAGGTACTTGATGGAGTGGTCCGAAATTTCAAAATTGGATTATTCTTTCTCAGTAAAATATATTTTTTTTCTGGAAAATTTCGACCTTTTTTCTGGGAGGTAACAGAAGGGGTGGACTGATATTGCCCATCTCCGAACTCCATATAAATTTGACAATAATATTACGATATACCAAATTTGTATCAAATCGGATACTCCCTTCGATAGTAATCGTGCGCACCAGCCAGCCAGCCAGACAGAAAGATGGACGGACGGACATCGCCAGATCGACTCCAAATGTCCTGAAACGGATTTGATCCAAAGAAACCTAGGGTCTAAGACCGTTATTTCGATGAGGCACGTTTTGGCCATATCAAATATTTATACCCTCTTTAGCCATACGGCTGAAGGTATAAATAGTAGTTAAATTACACAGACTTCTCTCTCTCTCAATTAAACTTTTCTCTCACTCACTCGTATTTATAATTTATTCCCCTTTTTTGTTTAAATACATTGATACTCTTTAATATTTAATTTTCACTGAAAAAAACTTTCTCTACCTCTCTGTTACTCTCAAAATAGTGTCCAGACTCTTTCGATTAGTTTTCAATCAAACATTAATACAATCACAGCAGACTCAGAGAATGCCGAGAGAATATCTCTGACGACATCAACGCAACACAACAAGTGGCCCTGTTAACATTACCTTGATTGAACGCCAGCGCTGGGACATAAATCACAATAGGTAACCATGTTATCTAAACGGATGTTGGTATTAGAGGAATTAGGAAGCAGTGATGCAACAGCAACAACAACCATGTCAGTATGGGTAAGGAGACCACACATCATCGTGGTGTGTGTGTGTATGTAGGGATTGATTTTTTCAATTGTTGCAGGTCGCCATTGAGGTTGAGAGTTTTGTGGTATTGTTGCGACGACAGGAAATAAGTCGTTAACATTGCATTGCATCGTTGAGTCCATTCGTCACAAGTTCAGCAGGAGTGGCATCGGCATTGGAATAAAAGGTGTATCCATCCGTTTTGCAAAGGTAAACAATGAACACCGAGAATACAATGCAATGCAATGCGACATAATACCAGTTAGTTGGAGTGCAACCGTCCATCGTCGAAATTCCATTGTTCACATTCAAGAGTAGTTGAATGGATTTTGGTAGATTATTCAATTAAAGGATTTTTATTGTTGGTCGCAATGGAAGGGGAAATAGAAAAAAAAAAATACGAAATAGATTTGTTTTCAATTTTACTATTTGACTATCGTGAATACTTACCGTGCCCAGTGAGAACAGTATCGAACCGAACAAACGAATTCCTTTGCCGAAACGCATTTCAAAATACTGGAAAATAATTGTTATTCACTTTTTTTGTGTGGCACGAAAAATTAGTTCGATTTGTTTTGTTAATTTTTTTTTATTTTTTGTTTTAGAGAACGGAGACAAAAGCAACAACAACTACTGCATTAAAGTTTTTTTTTTATTTTGGGAAATTTTTTTAATTTTTATTTCAAATCAACAATGGCCATTGTTGTTTTTGTCCTCTCTAGGCGAATGCACTTGTTTTCTTGGTTAACAACAACAACAAAAAATATTATAAAAATATTAAATACAGATGATAAGCAACACAAATAGTTAGAAATAGTGTACAAGAAAATCCGATTAGACACGATAGCAGAGAATTGGAAATATTAGCAAATATTCCCACACAGAAGAAAGTTTAAAGTAGATCGCAGAAGTATTTGTGTAAATATGTTTATGTTTTTAAAAATAATTATATTAAAGTGTTAATTAAGAAATATTAATATTTAGTAAGAAAAAAATCGATAGGAAAATATTTTTTCAATAGACGAGAAATTCAGACTCATAAAAAATCAAAAGATAAAAAATAACAAGTAAAAAGCTGTAAGTTCGGCCGGGCCGAACTTTCAATGCCCTCCGCCATTTGGAACGTATTTGGCAATTCTCAAAAACAATTAAATCCATTAAAAATTCTGTTAAAATCTTAAAAATACTGAAAGTAGCTGTCATATTAGGGTCTATACGACGACATAGACCTATATAGGTAATATTTGTCATAAGCCATTACCATATTCAAATTCGAAACCTGAAATAAATGGTGAATAATGTAGCCAAATCATCAAAATACCGTTCATAGGGAGGTACCGTTAAATAGGAGCTATACGAAGACCTTTACCTGTATAGACAATTTCTGTCACAGGCTGTAGCTTTCATTACGAACTTCAAATGCGACATCTCAAACAATTTCGGTGAATATTGTACTTAGGTACAATATTCAAAATACCAAATATCGAGAGGTACCGTTATATGGGGTCTCTACGAAGACGTGGACCTGCACAGACAATTTTCTGTCTTAGGCTGTAGTATCCATTTCGAACTTCAAATTCCAAATATGAAAAAATTCCGGTAACGCTAAAATCTTCAAAATACTAAATATTGGGAGGTACCGTTATATGGGGGCTATTCCAAAATGTGGACCTGCACAGACAATTTTCTGCCTTAGGCTGCAGTATCCATTACGAACTTCAAATACCAAATTTGAAACAATTCCAGTGAATAAAGTCACTAAAATCATCGAAATACCTAATATAGGGAGGCACTGCTAAGTGGGGGCTATACGAAGACGTTGATCTGCATACGCAGTTTTGTGTCACTAGCTGTAGTACTCATTAGGAACTTCAAATACAAAATTTGAAACAATTCCGATGAACAATGCCGCCAAAATCATATAAATACCGAATATAAGGAGGTAACGTAGTATGGGGGCTATACGAACACCCTGACCTGCATAGACAATTTTCCGTCACAGGCTATAGTACCCGTTACGAACTGCAAATACGAAATTTGAAACAATTCCGGTGAATAATATTAGTGACATTAAAATTCCGAATAAGAGAGGTGCCGTTAAAGGTATATGAAGACCTAGACTTGCATAGATAATTTTCCGTCATAGACTGCAGTACCCATTAGGATCTTAATTACTACATTTGAAACAATTCCCTTGAATAATGTCGCTAAAATCATCAAACTACCGAATATCTGGGGGTATCGTTGAATGGGGGCTATAAGATATCGTGGACCTACATTGACAATGCTCTTCCAGGGTACTTAAAAAGAACTCCTTTTGTGGATTTTACAGCCCTCTCATTTTTGGATTGAATCCCAATTTAGAACCTATAGCTCTTTTACAGGTTGTCCATCATCTATGAGCTTTGTTAGCCCTTTCTAGGATGTGGTCTCTCGAAGTAAGTTTCCTATTTAGAATCACATCCAAATATTTAAATTTTTTGTAAATTTTGATTGTCTTGTTCAGGTAGACTGGTTCATCGAAGGACCCAAATTTGGTTTTCCAAGTGAAAAGACATAACTGAATTTTTCCGATACCTGTTAAGCCCTATTGGTCTAGTCCAGTTGTATGCAAATTTCAGAGTCAAGTCGGGCCTTCTGCACAACAATTTTGGGTTATTTCCCTTAGAAGTGTTATAACGATACAATGCCTTCATGTTATAACGTCCAAATAGCTCCCTGTGGCGTTCCTTTTCATATAGCCCACCACTTATGCATTCTGAGGGTCTGGTCGACCTGGAAATTGCCTAAAGAGAGGATGAGTATATATATGCTGACGTTTTTGAACGCGCCTTCGATATCAACGCTTACTGCCAGTGCGAACATCTTTTTATCGAAAGTGCTCTCTAAAGCTGTTTCCACTGAGCGTCCTTTTACTAATAAATGTTCCTACATCACTTGTATTTATCTTTTACTTCCTCTCTCAAAATTTCTAGGAAGCTATAGAATCAGATAAACTAGGCAATGTTTAATGATAGCAAAATTGCGAGTCAAATCGGACCACAATAAATATATTCGCAGCCAAAATAGTACAAAAAAAGTGAAATACATTTTGATTGGCTGTTACTAGTTTCGTAAAAGCTACCATAACCTGGCCGAGAGTATAAAAAAGGTAAACAAGTGCAGGTAAACGATAATGGGTTGGTAAACAAGTGAACCTAGCCCAAGAAGCTGCAAGAAAAGGAGAAGTTAAGTCTTTACACAACATATCAAAAATATTATGTGGAAACTCCACTTGTGACAACAAAGTTATCTCCAGCATTTGCAGCTATTTTGGTGGATGGACAACTGGCAGCATTCGAAGTCAACAGAAATTCATCCAATAGGATTAAGTGCGCCTAGAGCAACGCATTCTGCAGCCAATTGCGAAATGGAATTAAAGACCAAACAGATTCAAGGTGAAAGTCGCAATGAAATGTCTCCAAAAAAAATGAGACCCCAGACAACAAAATTTTTTCCAATGCAATGCGTATATGAGACACAGACAAATACATTATAGCCATTGTTTACATAGCGATTTCCGGAAGAAGATGTGCTTCCATCTTTTCGAAATGAAGACATTTTGAGCGACGCATATTGCAGCCAATCGCGAAATGACATTCATTGGACTTATTGACCAAACAGACAAAAGGTGAAATTCGCAAAAAAAAAAAATCTTAAAAATGTATAATGCAATACTCATGTGAGACGCAGACAAATCAACAAGATTATGCCAATAGTTTACAAAGTTAATTCCGGAAGAAAATAATAGCCATTTGAAAATTTCCAAAGAAACTTTTTCAAAAATGGCAACAATTACAAAGGACACTATTGCGCGTATACTGACAAATTGGTTGAAGCGATTAGCCTTGATTGATGACCAATCACAATCAATTTAATATATCGTGGAAATGAAGGACGGGATAAAATATCTAGGGATCATATTTCATAAGAGATATGTCATAAAGAACACGTTATAGTGACAATTCCGAAAAGGCACACTTTTAACCTTTTTAATTTTTATAAAATACGTTAAGATTTTCTCTGTTAAATATACAATTGAATCAAATTTACAAGACTTTTCTTGAAGTAAAATCACAATACAATTCAACTAGTTTTGAAATTTACTAAATAGTTCCTCGAATGCGGATTAAAGAGTAGCAAAATAAATTGTAAACTACTGACTCGATGGTTTAAATATCTCCATATGGACCTTCATGGACTACTAACTCCCTGGGTAAATATCTCCAAATGGCTCCGAAAGAAATACTGTCTCGTCAGTCGTGAATAACCGCTTACGTTTCCTACAGCGGTTTTACAATGTTCACTTTGAATCCTATGTTTCGTCTGTAGGCGCTTCAGTTGCATAATATGATTGAAACCCTTAAAATGCCAAATGTGGGGAAATAATGTACTTTACCAAAAAAAAATACCAAATTAGGATCCAAGAGCGATACATCTGGGCAAGAGAGATGATCTAGCCTCCTATTAGTACCAAAACTCTGTAAAATAAATCGTTCCTTCTGTTAGGAGAAAAACGGTCTTGTATGGTACAAAAAGAAGTTCTTTAATAAGAACCCATAAATCATATTTATATTAGCAAAATTAGTATTTTTAAGTGACTAATAAATATATGTGTTTATATGAGAAACGCTACAGCAGCATCACTGCTGAACTGTTACTTTCTGAACATACCCCACATAAACACTGTCCCTCTTTTGTTACTCTCTTTCGCTTGTTGTGGATATTGTAGACATGTGATTAGTATAAATCAGTGGTGCTCAAAACCGTGTTCTAGAACATGAAGAGAAAAAAGAGATAATTTAAGAGAAATTAAAACTCTGTTTTTCTTTATATTTTACGGTTCTATTTAATTGTTTTTAAACACGAATGTTTGCCAAAACAATTAATAAAGCAAATGGATAAAAATATTTGTATAAATAATGACTTAACACTGTTTTGTTCTTGATTTAAATAAGCAAAGAGAAATTTGAATGAAAAGAGATATTTCTTTTTGGGCACCGCTGGTATAAATATAAACAGAGCAAGAATAGCAACAATCACACAACAGAGAGAAAGAGAGCTGTGAATTTTAAGTCAGTGCAAACCAGTATTGCAATTAGAAGCAGCATCAGTGCAAGAGAAAAGGAACTGTTTGCTTAGAAGAACTTGATTTTAAATTTGTCATTCCATTTTCGCAACCAAGGAGACAAGTTAGCTGAAACATTAATAAATACATTTTAAAGATTAGAACACAGTCTTTCTTTTCGAATTAAATATACATGAGCAAGAGGATAAGTAAAAACCTTATATTACTTTAGGAATAGTATTGTAAATCGCTGGATTATTACTCGTGGAGAACTAATAAATAGATCAAATACAAGGTGACGCAAAAGTAATCCTCCTATCGGAAAATGCTATAAATTAATGTCAGTTCTGTTTTGACAGTTTTGTAGTAAGCACATGCGAAATACACGTTAATAAACAATCTTACGCTACACTGCTCCATAACGCGGAATATTGGTGACTATTTATTTGACCAATAATCGTTCGGTGACTCTGGCACAACATGAATTTCGTCGCAGATTTTCTGGCCGTCCAACGCCTACTGGTGAAACACTACGACGTTTAGCCATTCTCCTCGAAGAGACTGGCACAACAAAAGATGCTGCCAAGCAGACCCCGAAGTATCGGTTCTACAGAGAATATTGCTACTGTAGCCGAGGATGCCATGGAAACGCCGTCGACCAGACGACGTATCACGTAAATGGGTATCAGTCGACGGTCTTTACAGCGAATTTTGGTACAAGATTTGAACATGTTTATGTAGCCGAGGATGTCATGAAAGCGCCGTCGATATCGGCCAGACGACGTGTCACGAATTTTGGTACAATATTTGAAGATGTTTCCGTACAAAGTCCAGATGTTGCAACAGCTGTTAGCTGCCGAACGCCAATTGCTTCTAACATACGCTCAAGCCATCCTTAATTAACACCAAGAAGATGATTTTTCATTAAAAATAATCATGAATGATGAGGCCCATTTCCATCTCAGCGGGTACGTAAATAAGCAAAATTAATGCTTCTGGGGCACTGAAAATCCACGTGTAACCCACGAAGAGACATTACACCGCTCAAAGTCACTGTAAGGTCTTCTGTTTTCGCTAGACTAGCCATCGGACTTTTTTTCGAAGACGTAGCGGGCCAAACGGTTACTGTGAATGGTGAGCCCTACAAAGCAATGATCAACGACTTCGATTTTGCCGCAATATGATGAGTTGGGATGGAAAACATGTTGTTCTAAGAGGACGGTGCAACGACACATACTACACGTGCCACAATCGATATGCTGAAGGATACATTTCTCGGGCGCCTAATCTCCCATTTTGGCGACTTGCACTGGCCCGTAAGATTGCCTGATTTGACTGCTCCATACTTCTTTTTGCTGGGCTTTTTTTAAATCGTGGGTTTATGTCAACAAGCCTCAGATTCTTTCAGTTCCTTAAGACAATATTTGTCGAGAATCTGAGGACCATTCGCCGGAAGTTTTGGCCAAAGTGATGGAAAATGCCATAAAAGGGGCTCAATTGACAATAAATTGTTGCGGCGGACATTTATATGACATCGTATTCTCGACTTGTTGTAAAAAAAAACTAACATTGTTTGTGAAGCAAGTATTAATAACAATTGGGAAACGATCAATTACCCTTACATTAGAGGGGTCGTTGGCGCATCACGGGTAAGAAATTTAAGTTTTTTTTTAACAACAGAGAAAGAAGTCAACTACAGCCAGAAACGGCAAGTTTACATCGCTGCAAAGGGAGTTTATTGATGGGAGAAGGGATTGACCAGGAACAGTACATCCGTGGTTGTCAGCCTCAGTAAATTTAGGAAATTGGCCCAATATTTGTAGCCGATTCAGTTGAATATTGCGACATGAAAGAGACTCTCTCAGAACAAAAAAAAAAGTACATTTATAGAACGAAGAACCCACGCACCTTCTTTTTACTAACCCAATTAGTCTTTTTAAGTGACTAATAGATCTATTTATAAAGACTCCTCTTTCAAAATCTTTGCGAGATAAGCTACTGGATCATTAGCATCATAGTCATTAAATAATCACATACGAGACATTTAAAAGACACTTGGTTCGTGCTGCTGATAAGAACGAACCATTTCTAAGAGTTCATAGTCAAGTTTCTTTTAAACTCACATGCTATTGCGTTAACTGATAATAAATTATTGTTTTGATTTGGGTTCGAGGAACCCATAAGTTCTAAATGATTTTGCATTTTTCAGCTGGGAAAGATGTCTAGTATTGAGAATTACAATTTCACAGATGGTTGGAATTTATTTTTGGATTTTTAACTCAGTTTACTGCGAGAAATGCCAAAATTAAAAATTAAACACGAATGTTTGGTGAGAACCTTTTCGATATCCCAGTCCAAAATAATTTTCAAGTTGTCGTGATAACCTTTCAGGTATTTAACCTCCAAAATAATTTACAAGTTAACAAAGTAAAATAGAGCTGTGTTAAAGAAGCATATTTACAAGCATTGAAGTAAGAAAAATATTATAAAACACATAAAAAATAAGTAAAGTATTTAAGAAAAAACAAAAGAAATGATAGAAAGCGGTATAAGAAACATATAAAGCTACTGAGCATGCGTGCAATTATTTACAATAAAAGTAATAGGTGTTAACTACGATATGCCAATTAATTTTTATAGCCAATTCCATGTTAATAAAACAAACTAATATTCTAAATGAAAATCAAGTAAAACAATTTCAAATCACTTACCTCATAGGTCGATGTCAATTGGAGATTACAGAATACCGGCAAGAAGACATACCATGAAATTACACCGGACAATGCCAGCGTAATCAGGATGAAGGCATACTGTGTTCCATAGACATAGATTTCCGTGGATGTACCCAAAAGGGATATGCCCGAAACGAAACTGAAACGAAAGAAAATGGAAATATTAGAACACTGATGGCACAACGATTTGTAGAGGGTGGCCCGGAAAGACCGAAGTGGGATTTCACACCACTTCGGGCTTTCCGGTCTTTTATTTAAGACATATTTTTATTTATTTATTATATTTTTTAAATACAGAAAATTTTTAGATTAAAATAAAAAGTGGAGCGAGAGCTTCAGAAAGCAGACATAAGAAAAACGACAGGAGACATTGAGCTCGAAAATCCTGGGTCATTGAGAAAAACCCTGGAACTATAATATAGTAATGCAGCAACCGTTTTGGGTGTTCCAGCAGAAAAGATGCTGTTCCTATTTCAAATGCAGCAGGAATAAATAAAGCAGATGTTGATATTCCAACAATCATTCAGAAATAATAAAGAAGACATGAAACGAAAGGGCAAACCGTAGTATGCGTACAGGCTAACGGTGACAAGTGCGAACGCTGTGTCATCCATCTCCAGTCAGAGAAAAGATAATGAAGCTTTCATATGCCGTAGAAGAAGATATTTCTGGGGTGAGTAAATATGCTCTAGAAAATAAAATGGGGATAAACACTTTGACGACATTAAGCAGCTGCATTTAGAAGTAAACATGGAATATGGAATGGAAAAGGCGAATGACGAATTGGATAAATAATTAGTGCCCTAAACGTCTCAGTCCGTGGATTTAAAACCGATACAGATTCCAAGCTAGGATAGAAATTTTGAAGTCTTTTTCCACCGGCATGTTGTCATTTTGAGGGAGTAGAAGAAAAGAAAAAAGTAAACCAGTAAGGAAAGCTCAAAAGTCGGGCGGGGCCGACTATATGATACCCCACACCACTATGCATATTTAGTAGAGCTCTCGTAAAAAGGTTTATACAGGGCATTTCAGAGCTCTATGAGATATTTGGTACAAAATCAAAATCTATCTAATTCTATCGTGCATTTTACGAACTATAGCTATCTCTGAACCGGGTTTCTCCAAATTTTACGTATTCTTCTTCTTCTTCTAGACTGGTGATTTGGGCTGATATTGACCATTTTGTGCACATTTAACCCGAAATCGGATGAAGATATATATGAGAGCTATATCCAAATCTGAACCGATTTCGATAAAATTTAAAACAGCTATTCCTGTGCTCCATCTAATACCTGGTACCAAATATCACGGTTGTGGAGTGAATATTACGAATGTATGGGACTAAAACTCTAAATCGGATGAAACATATATATGGTTGCTATATTTATATCTGAACCGATTTTCACTAAATTTGATATACTTGCTTCTAGGCTGAATTTGGTCCGATGTACTAAAATTCAGTCCATTTGGACTTATATCGGCCATTTGGTGCACAATTAACCCGAAATCGGATGAAGATATATATGGGAGCTATATCCAAATCTGAACCGATTTCGATAAAATTACAAACATCTATTTCTGGGCTGCATCTTATATCAGGTACCAAATATCATTCTTGTGGAGTGCATATTACGAATGTGAGAGGCTTAAACACCAAATCGGATGAAAGATATATATGGGAGCTATAGCTATATCTGAACCGATTTTCTCCAAATTTGTTTTATTTGCTTTAAGCCTAATCTCGGTCACATCTGCCAAAATTCGGGCCATTTGGGCTGATATTGGTCATTTGGTGGTCAATTAACCCGAAATCGGATGAAGATATATATATGGGAGCTATATCCAAATCTGAACCGATTTCAATAAAATTTAAAACAGCTATTTCTGTGCTCCATCTAATACCTGGTACCAAATATCACGGTTGTGGAGTGCATAGTAGGAATGTGAGGAACTTAAAGATCAAATCGGATGAAAGATATATATGGGAGCTATAGCTATATCTGAACCGATTTTCTCCAAATTTGATATACTTGCTTCTAGGTTGGGTGTGCCAAAATTCAGGTAATTTGGACTGATAGTGGATATTTGGTGCACATTTAACCCGAAATCGGATGAAGATATAGATGGGAGCTATATCTAAATTTGATCCGATTCTCACCAATTTCAATAGGGTTCGTCCTTGGGCCAAAAAAATATTGTTTGGAAAATTTCATCTCAATCGGATAATAAATGCGACCTGCATTTTGTTCACAAGAATACATGGACAGACGGACGGACATGCATAAATCGACTCAGAAAGTGATTCTATGAAGGTTCTCAAAAGTAACTATGGGTCTATCTCGTTTCCTTCTCCATGTGGTGTAGGGTATAAAAAGCAACTGATTTCAGCCGGGTCGAACTTTTCATACCCTCCACAGTTTGGAAAGTAACTCATGTCTGTTAACACCGAAATTCCGGTATTTGATTGGTATGCGTCACTTCTGTTATTAGGAACATCTAATTCAAATACTAAACAATTCTGTAAATAATACCGAGTATCTATAGAAAAACTTTGATTTATTTAGAAATATTTCAATATAAGCAGAGGAACCCATTACAGAATCCGTAAACTGAAGTCTATGTAATTTTAAGCATATCGGGAAATACCTTTATTTGGGGGATAACGTGGGTCTAAATAGACAGTGTTCTGCTGCAGAATATAGTATCTAATATGAACTATAAATATCGAGTTTTAAGAAATATTAGCTTGGACATATAGAGGTAGTTTCCGAAAGTCGTACTATAATTGTACGAAATGTACTGAATGGTACTATATTTGGTATTGGGTGAAGGAATAGAGATAAAAATCTGAAATTTGATATGGATGCCACTTATGGTGTCTGTGTTTGAGAGAAGAAGCTGGTTTTGGATATGCGTACTATAATTGCACTAAATTTTGTAATAGAGAAAATTAAAGAACTGAAATCTTGAAATTTGTTATCAGGGTCTCTGTTTATATCTGGTGTTGACATATGAAGATTGTTTTGAAAATGCGTACTATAATTGTACGAAAAGTACTAAATTTGGTATTAGGTGAAGGGATAGAGATAAAATTCCGTAATTTGATATTTAGATTACTGATGGTATCTGTGTTGGAGATTTGGCGGTGATTTCGGAAATGAGTTCTTTATTAGTACGAAAATTACTAAATTTGGTACTGAGTGAAGGGAAGGGTCTGTTATCCTGTACTCTTGAGATCAGTCTTGGTATCTGGAATTGAGATATGGAGGTGGTTTTGGAAATTTTTACTATAATTGCACGAAAAGTACTGAATGGTACTAAATTATTTGAAGGAAAAGAGATAAAATTCTGAAACTTGTTATGGATTAAATTTTGGTGTCTGTGGTTGAGAGAAGATGCTAGTTTTGGATATGCGTAGTATAATTTGACTCAAAAGTGCTAAATTTGGTATTGGATGAAATTAAAGTGCTGAAATTTGATATCAGGGTATTTAATGGTACTAATTTTTGGTATTGGGTGAAGAGATAGAGCTGCAATCCTCAAATTTGATAATGCAATCTCTCTGGGAATCTGGAATTGAGGTTGGTTTGGAAATGCGTTCTATAATCGAACGAAATGTAGTAAATCTTACTAAATATGGCATTGGGTGAAGGGATAGGGCTGGAATTTCAAAAGTACTAAATGTTACTAAATTTGGTATTGGGTAAAGGAATAAAGCTGAAATCCTAAAATTTCTTAATGTGGTATCTGGTGGTGGTGGTTTTGTTATTACTTTTAGATGACTTTTGGTGTCCAGGATGGAGGAATGTTGACTGATTTCGATACTAAATTTGGCATTGGGCAAAGCGATAGAGCTAAAATTCTGATATAAGATATTGAGGACACTATGATTTACGTTAAAATAGTTTTGAACATAAAAATTGGATGGAGGTCCATTGTGAATGTAATTTGGTATTGGGTGAACGGATAGTGCTTGAAAACTGAAATACGACGTTAGAAGTACTGTAAGCATGTAGGGTTTAGATTTGGAGGTGGTTTTGGAAATTCGTACAAAGAAAGTACGAAAAGAACAAAATGGTACTAAATTTAGTACATCGGAAAGGGGTAGAGCTGGAAACCTGAAATTTGGTATAACAGTAGACAAACCAAAAGAAAAATATCGGAAATAACATCAAATTTTAGAATATGTTTAGATTTGTTCGAATTGCTCAACTTTGGCACGAATTATGGCCTTCAAACGGCCAATGAAACCACACGCTGTCCGAATGTTACTCTGCGGTATTATGGCCCATTCCCAGCGAAGCGCTTGCTTGAGGTGATCGACACTTTGGTATTTTTTAGTGCCAACCTTGCTTTCCTAAATACTCCAGATACAATAGTCCAACGGATTGGTATCCGGAGATTCTGGTGGCCATTGTGTGCTGGAAATGAAGCGAGGAACCGCATTTGCGATGGTGCTGGATCCTGTTGGAATGTCCAAGATCTGCGGCCAAAATGTTGGCGTGCCCAAGACTTTACTACACCCTACAGAATATTTTCGCCATAATATTCGGCATTTATTCTGATGTCACGGTCGATTAATACGAGCGGAGAGCGGCCATCGGCTGTTATGGTGGCCTACACCATCACCATGGCCGGCGCTTGAGTTCTGGTGGCCAATCGAAGGTGCACATTTTCAGCTGATCTCTTTGGCAAGTTAACACGACCATTTTGTTTGTTTACAAGCTGCTAGACAACGAATGTTTTCTCATCGAAGAAAACCAAATTCGACAGTTCACCACTTTCGGCCAAGCGAAGCCACTCTTTTGAGTCTATTTTCTGTTCTTTCTGTTGCGGTGTAAGTTCTTGCACTTTTTGAAATCTCAATGGCTTTACCCCGAGCTTATATTTGCCGAATGGAATATTGCGATATGTTCAGCTCACGAGCCAGCCAGCTTCGTACACTGCTACGCGGGCTTCGATCAAGTCACTTCTTTACTTTTCGAACCATTTCTGCTGATATTGCTGTTTCCTTCTTCAGTCCTCTACCTAGACACTGGGCTACGCTACCAGCATCCCTGTAATGAGCGATGATTTATTCACATTTAAATGCCGGAGTGCTCTAAGGATAGCCACTTGCGGTTTTCCGGCCAAATATAA